CCTGACAGTTAGCGCAACAAAAACTCTAGTCTGTGCTCTTGTTCTCTCTCGTCTTGACTATTGCAACTCACTTCTGTCAGGTTCACCGAAACATTTTATAGAAAAACTGCAGAAAGTTCAAAACTCTGCTGCTAGGCTTGTTCTTAAGGCAAAAAAACATGATCACGTCACTCCACTACTCCACTCACTACATTGGCTCCCTATACAGGCACGCATTGACTACAAGCTGTCTCTTCTCTGTCACAACTTTTTCTCGGATTCCTGCCCTTCCTATCTAACTGAACTTCTTTCTGTCTATTCACCCCTTCGACAACTTCGCTCCTCCGCAGACTCGCGTATTCTGTCCGTTCCCAAGACACGCACTAAATTATATGGTGAACGATCTTTCTCTTTCTGCGCCCCCAAACAATGGAATTCTTTGCCACTACACATCCGCAATATAACAACCACACAGGCCTTCAAAACTGCACTCAAAACACATCTATTTAAACTATACTACTCTGACTGATTCTCCTCCTATAAACCGATAAACGTACATGGGTTTCCTTGTAAAAATGTCTGGTGTGGGTGGATGAATATACCTATGGTGTTGTTTTGCTTATATGTTGTTTTTATTTCATTTATGTATTTTATTTTAATATTATGATTATGCCTCTTTGCTATATATGTACAGCGCGGTGAGCCCAGCCCTAGGCCGGGGTACCGCGCTATATAAGACCACTTATTATTATTATTATTATTATAAACGTAAATTTAAACGCAGATATAAACACAAATTTAAACGCCGATATAAACGTAAATTTAAACGCAGATATAAACGTAAATTTAAACGCCGATATAAACGTAAATTTAAACGCAGATATAAACGTAAATTTAAACACAGATATAAACGTAAATTTAAACACAGATATAAACGTAAATTTAAACGCAGATATCAACGTAAATTTAAACACAGATATAAACGTAAATTTAAACACAGATAGAAACGTAAATTTAAACACAGATATAAAAGTAAATTTAAACACAGAAATAAACGTAAATTTAAACGCAGATATAAACGTAAATTTAAACGCAGATATAAACGTAAATTTAAACGCAGATATAAATGTAAATTTAAACACAGATATAAACGTAAATTTAAACGCAGATATAAACGTAAATTTAAACGCAGATATAAACGTAAATTTAAACGCAGATATAAACGTAAATTTAAACGCCGATATAAACGTAATTTTAAACACAGATATAAACGTAAATTTAAACGCAGATATAAACGTAAATTTAAACGCAGATATAAACGTAAATTTAAACACAGATATAAACGTAAATTTAAACACAGATATAAACGTAAAATTTAAACACAGATATAAACGTAAATTTAAACGCAGATAGAAACGTAAATTTAAACACAGATATAAACGTAAATTTAAACACAGATATAAACGTAAATTTAAACGCAGATATAAACGTAAATTTAAACGCCGATATAAACGTAAATTTAAACAAAGATATAAACGTAAATTTAAACACAGATATAAACGTAAATTTAAACCTAGATATAAACGTAAATTTAAACGCCGATATAAACGTAAATTTAAACGCAGATATAAACGTAAATTTAAACGCAGATATAAACGTAAATTTAAACACAGATATAAACGTAAATTTAAACGCCAATATAAACGTAAATTTAAACGCAAATATAAACGTAAATTTAAACACAGATATAAACGTAACTTTAAACACAGATATAAACGTAAATTTAAACGCCGATATAAACGTAAATTTAAACGCCGATATAAACGTAAATTTAAACGCAGATATAAACGTAAATTTAAACAGAGATATAAACGTAAATTTAAACGCAGATATAAACGTAAATATAAATCTAAATCTAAATGTAAACTTTTATAGAAAATCCTTAATGAGTCACCGTCTTCATGCATAGTTAACAGACTCGGCTAATATTTCTTATTTGAACTAACTCTTATTTTTTTAACTTGGTGAAAATGTCATCACTTCAGTGACGACCTAATTGATGCTTGGTCCTTGATAAATAATGGATCAAAATTATGCTTGGGCTAAAAAAAAAATTAATTAAAAGGACATTTCGGCTAAATGTCTTCTTCAGCAGACGATACAAAACAAAAGAAACAAACTACTGTGTCACGACACAGAGCCGAACCACTACTGTGTAATGAGACAGAGCCAAACCACTGCTGTGTCACGACACAGAGCCGAACCACTACTGTGTAATGAGACAGAGCCGAACCACTGCTGTGTCACGACACAGAGCTGAACCACTACTGTGTAATGAGACAGAGCCGAACCACTGCTGTGTCACGACACAGAGCCGAACCACTACTGTGACATGACACACAGCCGAACCACTACTTTTTCATGACACAGAGCTGAACCCCTACTGTGTCACGACACACAACCGAACCACTACTGTGTCACGACACACAGCCCAAACACTACTGTGTCATGACACAGAGCCAAACCACTACTGTGTCATGACACACAGCCGAAAAACTAATGTGTCACGACACAGTTTGGAAACTACTAAAAAAGACCTACAAACAAAAAGCTATATGGGCATTAAGATGAACTAAAATCATGTGGGGGTGGGGGAACATACTCAGAAATGAGAACCACTGAAATGCAGGGACACCAAAAGAGTGTAGTAGAAAATTGTCAAAGACCGAGCCCCAATGTCCCCAAATGAGAATGTTACAATCAGGTTTGTGTGCTGATAAGTCAAAGTTATGGACTGATAACATTTTTCTAACAAAGCATTTGATAGCATTGGCTTGAACATTTATGTTTCCAAAATGTGCTAATACGTCATGCTAATTGGGTTACTTGGTAAATGACATTATTTAATTTGTAATATGTTATGCTTACATGGTAATGTGTGGGTTTTACTTGGTAATGTGTCATGCTTATTTGGTAATATGTGTTGTTTAAATGGTAATGTGTTGTAATTGCTTAGTAATGAGTGGTGTTTGCTTGGTAATGTGTGGTATTGACGTGGTAATGTGTGGAGTTCACAGTGTAATGTTATTTACTTGGTCATGTTCGCTGGGTAATTTGTCATGTTTACTTGGAAATAAGTGATGTTTACTTGTTAATGTCTGGTATTTACTTGGTAATGTGTGGTGTTTACTTTGTAATGTGTAGTGTTTCACTTAGTAATGCGTCATGTCTACTTGGTAATGTGTGGTATTTTCGTGGTGATGTGTGGTATTTACTTTGTAATGTGCAGTGTTTACTTCGTAATGTGTCAAATTTACTTGTTATTGTGTCATGTTTAAGTCGAGTTTAAATAAGTTTTTTTAGTGACCGATCTGATTCCAAGCTTGTAGGTGTCTAGTTGAGATGCGATAAAGAAGGAGTGGTCGTGAAGTTGACAAACACTGGTTTCGGAAAGCAAGGAATTGGTATGCGCAATAAATCAGGCACGCAAAGTCTGAGCATGCTCAGTCTCTCCTTAAGGCAGCAGGTACTGACTCTCACAAGATGTTCTCTGTGGTGAATGATCTTCAAGGGAAGAAATCAGCACTCCTTCTTTTGAAGACATGAGCAGCGAGCAAGCGGCAGTTAAACTGGACAAGTTCTTCACTGAAAAAAATAAAAGAATCAGAAAGAGTTTTGGGTGAACGTTGTGATTTGTTTGCAGTGGACAATGTCTTTGAAGGCAAACCTCTAGAGGAATTCTGTCTAGTTTCCCAGGACAAGTTGAGGCGCATCATCATTGCATCTAAAGCTACATTTTCTTTTGGTGACCTGATCCCTACCAAGATTGTTTTGGACTGTCTGAAAGTCTTGCTTCCTGTATAGTTTAACATCGTGAAATCGTGAATAGTAGCCTTCCCTCTGCCACAGTCACACATCTCTTTAAAAAAAAAAACGACACTTCTTGTCGCTGGACCTCCTAAATGTCGACGTATCTAATGGCCAGTTTTTTGTCCATATAATTTTGAACTTATAGTGCTTGCTAGCTGACTTATAGTGCTTGCTAGCTGACTTATAGTGCTTGCTAGCTGACTTATAGTGCTTGCTAGCTGACTTATAGGGCCTGCTAGCTGACTTATAGTGCTTGCTAGCTGACTTATAGTGCTTGCTTGGTGCCGTACAATGATTGCCAGCTGACTTACAGGGCTTGCTAGCTGTCTTATCTGGCTTGCAAGCTGACTTATATTGCTTGCTGGCTGACTTATTGTCACAGAACAATTTCGGAGTCAAAAACTCCTTTCATTCCAGCTAAGTTAAAACATTACGTCGAATATCTTTGGACACCGGAGAGCGATGGGTTTTTTTGAAACACTATTTAAAAATAAACGAAAAATTGCCATTGACGAGCAATAAAACAGATACAATAAACGCCAAAACAAAGTAATCGAAAATTGTTAAGTGCCAATCTTTATTTATATGCTGAACACCGAAATTTAATACAGAAATCAACTGGATATTGCAAAGAGTGAGGATGAGGTGAAATAATAAGTGCAAGATTCGCAACCAATTTTAATTTGATATATTAGCGTAATTAGTGTATTTAATTTAATGAGTTTATAACATTAATATATGATATGTTAGTGTAATTAGTGTGAAATATTTATTGTGACAAATTAAGCTTATTAGTGTATACCATTTACCTCTTCTTATAGTTAAGGGGCTCATGATCAATTTGTTGATTATTCTGGCTCCTGGTTTTAATTCTCCTAGATGGGTTGCCATCCAAGGCTGACGAGTCTCATCCACCCGGGGTGCTTGGGATGTTGGCTTTGGCGGGTATTGAACTCCAGACTGGTTTGAGACAGTTAAGACCGTTCAGCCACCCAGCACCCAATTTGATATGTTAGTGTAATGAGTTAAAATATTTAATTTGAGATAAAGGTGTTTCATAAAACATATTAAGTTGATATATTAGTCTAATAAGTGTAGATATAATATATTAGTATAATTAATGTAAATAATTTAATTTGACATATTAGTGTAATTAGTGTAAAATATTTACTGGCATTTTATCTAAAACTTGAAATGTCCATGGATAAATAGTCATGGATTAATATCAAGGTATGTTTGGCATATATGTATAGTGAAATATAGACACGTGCGCTAAGCTATAAACTTTTGAAAGGTGAGCAGTTATTGATTGTCATCGTTTAGTAATCAGAATAACCGTACAATGATGAGGGGGTGTTACGGCGTCCCCACTAACGTCAAGCCAATACACCAAGCCATCCATCTACGACTGTTTCTAGTATTAAATAGTGTTAATATCTACATCATAAATACAACAGTGTTCATATCAAGTTTCACGTCAGCCAAATATCCTGTCCACCAAATGTCATGTAAGACAAACATCATGTCGGCCAAAAGTCATGTAAGACAAACATCCTGTCGGCCAAAAGTCATGTAAGACAAACATCCTGTCGGCCAAAAGTCATGTAAGACAAACATCCTGTCGGCCAAAAGTCATGTAAGACAAACATCTGTCGGCCAAAAGTCATGTAAGACAAACATCCTGTCGGCCAAAAGTCATGTAAGACAAACATCCTGTCGGCCAAAAGTCATGTAAGACAAACATCCTGTCGGCCAAAAGTCATGTAAGACAAACATCATGTCGGCCAAAAGTCATGTCATCATAATTACTGTTAAATATTATAAGGAAAAAAAAACCTGTAGACGATATTAAATTTTGATAGGTTTGACAATGAAACGATAACATTACGTCATATTGTTTAGTCATCAGAATAACGGTACATCATGAGGGGTGTAATGAAAGACCTGGCAATGTTAAGCCACAACACTAGCCCATCAATCACTGCAAATGGAAATCTTGCTAGAACAACACGATCTAAATTGAGTGTGTAGCTGAGATTAAAAATGGCAGTCGGCATGACTAGCACAAAATAGACGACCGAAATGGCAAACAGTCTGTTAACTTTTGGTGTAGGACCGGACAGAGCTGTGACGGCTGTGATCCCAATACCTGTTTGACTCGGGGCGCCACTAACGTTACCTGGATAATAAGTTGGATTTGCGTACTGCGTCTGAACCGGTATGTAGTACGGTTGTGTAAGGGGTTGGTTGTGGTATGGTGGTGGTTGTTGGGGGTTGTTCGGATATTGTCCTTCTGCGTACGGTTGGTTGTGGAACTGTGGTGGTTGTCCCTGTGTAAGGGGTTGGTTGTAGAAATGTCGTGGTTGTCCCTGTGTAGGGGGTTGGTTGTAGAACTGTGGTGGTTGTCCTTGTGAAGGGGGTTGGTTGTAGAACTGTGGTGGTTGTCCATGTGTCGGGTACGTTGTTGGAGAGGCAAACATTGAGGACTGTGAATGATTCGGGCTCACTGGGATCACTTCTGCTGGGTTCGTTGTCTGGATTGCGGTAGCAGTTGTGCGGCTGTTGTAAACAACTACAGCTTGTGCAGGGCTGTTCACTGTGTGGGATTTTCTATTCTTGACAATGATAGAAGTGATCACTGCACCAAATGCTGGTAAAATAATTCCAATGACGACAGAAGCTATGTTCTGACTTAAGCTCTGAGCACTCTGACACGTGTCAACATTGAAGTTCGCCATCCCAAGGGGTAAGACAACGACAAGTCCAAGCATCCAAGGAAAACTGCTGTACCCGAGAGAATAAATGATTTGAGTGTTTGTATTTGTGGGTGAGCTTTTCTGAGATTGACTTATTTCAAAGCCGAGCACCATTAGTCCAGTACCGTAGACGAAGGTGATCAGAAATGGAGTGTAGACACTGGACGTTATTGCCGTAGTGCAAGAAAGTCCAGTCGACGCATAATCTCCAAACAAAACCTTAGTTTGATAAACCATTGGAAACAGAGCTAGAAGAACATCTCCCATGGCCAGCGATAAAATTGTCAGAGTTTTTAGCTTGTACATAAAATCACATTTACTGACATTCTTGGATATGAGCAAACCGTTGGCCAGCAGTATGAGGATGATGAAGATGATGTACAATGCCTTATAAGCCGTGATGTGAGCATCTGGATCAAAACCATCGAAGCTGTCGCTGTACATTGCCTGATATTTCCTATAAATGCAATGTTCACAGATATCAATGTAATTCAAATCCTGGTACTAAAGTGCGTCGGCCACGAAAATATCTGGGGAAAAAAAGAGTAATAAAAAACGAGTTTGAAATTTGTAAAAATTAACTGCTTGTCTGCAAATCTGTGCTTTGACAACTGATAGTTTTAAGGTTTGGTCGATTGATAACAACTGGCAAGCTAATGCTTTTCCCTTTTCTTCAAAAAAGACACACACAAAAACTTAATATTAACTTCTCATTAGTTCATCGCTCTTCTAAAGGCTAATTGACCCATTTCCTTTTTAACCTATCGAGCTAAAACTCGGCCATGCCTATAGACTTTAGTTATTAAATGTAATGCAGCATTTTAATGTAGTTAATGTAGGCCTGATTTTAATATTTAGTGAGGAATCGCCCTACAGCTTTTCTTACCAACCAATAAGCTTCATGCAGTGTCTCCTATGCTCTCAGTATCACCAATGCTCTCAGTATCACCTCTGCTATCAGTTTCACAAATGCTATTAGCATCACCTAGGCTATCACTAACATCTATGACATCAGAATCAGAATCATGGATGCACTGAGCCTTTCTTGAAATAGCAATATGCCAATTTCTTTGAATGGTCATAGTTAAAAATGATTGACGACTTATAATTATTTGATATCAAGACTTATAGTAACAGTATAGTGTAATATTTTATTGACAAGTAAACGAGGCTTAATCTTCAACATGAAATGCAGACAGATAGTGTCAGCCCATTTATGATTTAAAATTTATTTAGGGCTTAATCACAGGTCTGATTAAAATGAATCAACGTTTAGTCTAAAGTAGGTTGGCTTATAACTTACGCACAATATCAATCAATAAATACTTTCGATCTCATTCTTAAAATGCAAGATAATTAAGGCCAAATATATATGTCTTCATCAAATATAATAGTATAGTGTACATGCCTGATTATAGATCTACGCACAGGCACATTAATAATATATGATAAGTTTATTTGGTTGGCTATATGTTGCTATCATTCTAGGTTTATTATTAGACCTGTAATTCAACTTGGTTTTCATTTTGATGGACGCCAATTTGACTCAGTGTATTTTACAGAAGAGATTGTATGCTTTGTGATGTATTGTACAGAAGAGATTGTATGCTTTGTGATGTATTGTACAGAAGAGATTGTATGCTTTGTGATGTATTGTACAGAAGAGATTGTATGCTTTGTGTTGTATTGTACAGAAGAGATTGTATGCTTTGTGATGTATTGTACAGAAGAGATTGTATGCTTTGTGATGTATTTGTACAGAAGATATTGTATGCTTTGTGATGTATTGTACAGAAGAGATTGTATGCTTTGTGATGTATTTGTACAGAAAATATTGTATGCTTTGTGATGTATTGTACAGAAGAGATTGTATGCTTTGTGATGTATTGGACAGAAGTGATTGCATGTTTTTGGATACATGTACAGAAGTGATTGAATGTTTTTGGATGTATTTTACAAAAGTGATTGCATGTTTTTGGATGTATTTTACAAAAGTGATTGCATGTTTTTGGATGTATTTTACAAAAGTGATTGCATGTTTTTGGATGTATTGTACAAAAGCGATTGCATGTTTGGCGGATGTATTGTACAAAAGTGATTGCATGTTTGGGGGATGTATTGTACAAAAGTGATTGCATGTTTGGGGGATGTATTGTAAAAAAATGATTGCATGTTTGGGGGATGTATTGTAAAAAAATGATTGCATGTTTGGCGGATGTATTGTACAAAAGTGATTGCATGTTTGGGGGATGTATTGTACAAAAGTGATTGCATGTTTGGGGGATGTATTGTACAAAAGTGATTGCATGTTTGGCGGATGTATTGTACAAAAGTGATTGCATGTTTGGGGGATGTAATGTACAAAAGTGATTGCATGTTTGGCGGATGTATTGTACAAAAGTGATTGCATGTTTGGGGGATGTATTGTACAAAAGGGAAGGCAAAATGCCAAGTTGATTTTTGCAGAGTACAATCATAGAGGCACTTGGGAGAGCTTGGTTACAATGAAAACCTTATGCATTCTGATGGGACAGCCCAGTTTAAAAATGTCATTTTAAAATGCTGGAAAACGAAGCAAGTTAAATCACCAGTTGTAGATCTTAGACGGTATTAAAATTTTTAACAACCGACCCGAAGTGATGTGAAGGACATGGATGTTTGTTATTTAAATAACTTCCTTTTAAATGGCTTGGCCATGATGCCTAGCACGTGCCGAGGCCAAAAGTTGGTCGTTTAACAAGAGAGAGATTTACAGCTATTCACCCCCCACACAACACATGCACCATTAATGGGTCGTTATCTCTTTGAAGCAATGCCAAACGAGAGAGAGAGAGCAGATACCCATGCGCGAGATGGTGCAGCCAAACCCCAACTCGACCGGCTCTTGTCTCAACTTGGAGTCAATGAGGCTCAAAAACCATCTTTCGCCGAGAGCGGCTCAAAGACTGACCGAGTACGAGTACGAGTGACCCCTGGCTTGTAGGTAACAAAATGTTTAATACTTGACTAACTATTATTATAGACCTTTATAGGTATGTAAATATATTTTACTGTAGTGTAATTGAAGTCTTTAAACGTGTGGAGTTGCAACAAAAAAATGAAAATTAAATAAAAACAGCGATATATGCGAACAATAGGATGTAATTACGATGGTGACAAGGAAACAAGGGCTTGCCAAAGAAATATTTCACGGTACCACAAGAGGAGGGAGAAGAAGAGGAAGACAAAGAAAAAAGTGGGAGGATAACATCAAAGAGTGGACTGGACTAACACTGGGCGATGCAGTGCGTAGTGCTGAAGACGGAGAGGAATGGATGATAGTTCACATGTCATCTGTGGCGCCCCAACGGTCCAAGGACTAAGGGACATGAGGAGGATGAGGAAGTAAGACTGGAGCGGTCAGTGCGATTGTTATAACCTAATACTATAACTTGATTGGCCTTAAATACACGGATCATCAAATATATCGAGCCTGGAGATATTTCATAGAGTCCACTAATTGTAATCGGTTAAAGGCGGCAACAGTTAATACGCAAATGTCATTTTTTATATTTAAACAAATTATATTTTTGTTGTATTGTGGTACACATTGTGATCCCGCCCGGGCTGGGGGGGGGGCAGAGAGCTGCCATAGAGATAGCTGAAAAAAACAACAACACTGATTGCTAACAATAACCACATTTTTGAAAGCATGACGCCATTGCCAATTTGTCATTAACGCCATTCCCCAGTTTAAAAGTCATGATTTTGTTATAAAATATCATTTGAAAGCATGAAAAGATTGCTCTCGTTTGATACTTAGTGGGAACTTTATTAAAATTATAGACCTTAAAAATGTGGTAAAAGTAGTTTAATACAGTGTTATTAAAGTCTTTAAACTTGTGAATTTGCAAAATATAATTAAACAAAAAATACAGAAAAAGGTGAACGGCAAGTAATACTTCGGATCATAATCGGCAATTGTGCCAAACATTGCGATATTTATAATCGAATATCATAAGCTTCTCAGAGGATTAACCTTAACAATACGGATCATCAAATATATCGTGCGTAGCGATATTTTATAGATTCCACTAATTGTAATCGGTTAATGACACCAGCTAATATTCTTTTTAAAATTATTTTAAAAATGATAATTTGTTATTTTTTATAATAAAATGTACATTGTTTTATTGGTGTACATATTTTTCTCTGGGAGGGGGACACTTGAACTTCCCCGGAGGGAGGGGGCAGTACCCCCCCCCCCGGGGATATAGCTTAAAGAAACCCTGGGTTCAACCTTACAAGAGAAGACATCCTGCAAGTACTTGTCCGAGTGGTGCTGGGTGGCCGAGTGGTGCTGGGTGGCCGAGTGGTGCTGGGTGGCCGAGTGGTCTAAACTGAGCAAATCTCAAGTTGGTGGTCTGGAGTTCAATTCCAGGAAGAGCACAAAAAAACACCACCAGCACCCCGGGTAGATGGGACTCGTTAACCTTGGACGGCAACTCATCCAAGAGAAGGAAACTCTGAAATCAAACCCGGAGATGGAGTCCCAAAAGGCGGATAACATTGTTACAATGAAACATTCCGACAACTCCTGCGACGTCACTGGTGTATCATCCAATGATGTTCCCTTGGGTTATCCAGTGGCGTGGAGAGAGGCGATTTGCTGCTGGGAACCATCTTATAAGCCTAGAAGAATAATCCCAGGCCATGTGGATTTCGTCCTCCGAAGCCCACTCCATCGTCACATTGTGACGGACGAATGCCAGCACTTGTCTGAAATGTGCCCTGTCGCGTCCGTAAAGATTGGGTTTCACCCGTCAAGTTCGCTCCAACCGTTCATACGTCATTATCTGATTAACCGAACTCAAGTCCTTTACAGAAACAAAACAAAATTTAATATAAGCTTATCCAGAATCTGGTCTTACAATAACTCAAACACATAGAGCTCAGTTTGATGCTGAAATACCATACAACCTTCTCACCCAAGGCTTAGACAGCAACTGCCAAACGACTGGCATGTGTTTTCGCGACGGTCAGGACACTACGTCACAGATGCATAAGCATCACGTCACAACACGCCACAGGTCTCATCGCGCCAAAGCGTTCAGTAACCAAACTGACACACAAGACAGCACACAACAAAACACAACTTACGGTGCATAACAATTAAAAGTGAATGTCCATATGAACAGACGGCTGCCTCAATAGTTTCGACAGACGCAGTCTTAACGCTGAGACACTTAGTTTACGTTTGGGTTAGATCGTGTAAAACTAAGTAAGTCATATGAAATACATAGTGCAGTCTGGCACACACTAATATTACGGATGTTTAGATACCTTAATCGTAACTTAACTTAACTTGGTGTTGTGGTGAAATGACTGAGTGTAGTGATCAGAGTTACCTTATCTGGGTAGTGGAGGGGTTGTCTGAGCCAATGGCTCTCAACCTATTAATCTTTAAGCCCTAATGTCTTTAACAGCAATTTTCTAAATAAAAAAAAATGTTTTACACTAACCGCGAGTTTAACACTGAGGACAACAATAGTGTAACACTGAGGACAACAATAGTTTAACACTGAGGACAACATGAGTTTAACACTAAAACAACAAGAGTTTAAGAATGAGGGCAACATGAGTTTAACTCTAAAGTCTAAAAGAGTTTAATAGTGAAGAAAACATGAGTTTAACACCGGAGACAGCTATAGTCTAACAATAAAGACAACAAGAGTTTAACACCGAGGGCAACAAAAGTATAGCACTGAAGACAACAAGAGTATCACACTAAGGACAACGAAAGTAACACTTAAGACAACAAGAGTTTACCAATGCTGAAGACAAGAGTTTAACACTGAGGACAACAAGAGTGTAACACTGAAGACGACAACAGTTAAAAACTGTGCCAGTAAATTACACTGGTACTGTAGCTTAATGGCACAAAAACGGCTTTTCAATGTGTAACACACCTACTCTGACATGGCGTGGGAGCTTATTTCTTATGCTGTGGGTTATGTCAGTAGTATGGTTACTTATGTTATGTTGATATTTCAGGATGCCGACTAAGGCTTCTTCATTCTTCCACTTATAATCCGGGCAAAAATACATGGTCAACACAATTCATTGTTCACTCATGCTACCTCTCTGTTTTCATGTGAAAACATTGTCCGTTACATGCCCCACCCATCTGAAAAAATTTTGTGCAACAAAATTTTTGGCATTATATATTGAAATAATGATAATGTCTCTTAGAAAATTTCAATGCCACATCTAACAATCAAATCAGTGTAACAACATTAACATTTCATCATTATGAAATACAGGGCCTTTTACTAGTGAATAATTTACCCTGGCAAAAAATTAAAAAATCACCAATGACAACCTCTTAAAATCTTTATGTATGATAATGTGAAGTGACATTAACATCTTAATGAATAATAAACACTGCAAAATGAATGTAACAACCTTAAATTTTGCATTAGAAAATTTACAATTGGTTAAAATCTGATATTCATTTACAAAAATTGATATGTACAAGTGTCTTATCAAAAAACTGAGTGAACGTATGTGTGTATATTCATTTAGAATGTCTGACTAATGTGTCTTAAGTCAGTGTCTTTGTCATTGTCTGCATGTTCAATGTGTCTGGAAAGGAAATCAGCTACTGTATTGTCTTTTCCTTTTATTGTCCTTATCTCATACTGATAATCTAATAGTATCAACGACCATCTGTTTATTTTACTGTTTGCTATTTTCTTTCTATTTAGTGCCATTAATGGCTTGTGATCAGTCAATAATGTAAATTTTCTGCCTAATAGATATTTCTGTAGTTTGGTAAGTGCCCACACAATTGCTAAGCATTCTTTTTCAATGGTTGAGTAGTTAATTTCAGTTCTGCTTAATGCTCTACTTAAATAGGTAATGGGTCTTAATTTATGATTGTATTCTTGCATAAGGCAAGCTCCTAATCCAATGTTGGAGGCGTCTGTAACTAGAGTGAAAGATTGTTTAAAATTGGGTGATAACAATATGTTGTCACTTTGGAAAATTTCTTTGATTGTTCTCAGTGTATTTTCGCATTCATCCGTCCATACTATTTGTTTCTTGCTATCTTTATTTATTAGTTTCCTTAAGGGTAGTGTAACATCAGAAAATTTTGGAACAAAAGTGCTGTAAAAATTGCACAAACCTAAAATGGCTTTTACTTCTTTCTGAGTGTGTGGTGTTTTTATATTTAGTATTTTTCCTCTGTTGTGTTCTGTGGGCTGAATTGTGTTTTTACCGACTTTAAATCCTAAAAATTCAATGTCCTCTTGTGCAAACTTTAATTTGTTTGGTGCTATTGTAACTCCATGTGCTCTTAATTTGTTTAGTACTGTTTTTATAGTCTCTAAATGTGTCTTCATATCCTTAGTGTGAATACAGATATCATCGACAAAATGTACGACATTTGGTATGCCTTCTAACATGATTCGCATGAATCGAGAAAATGTTGCGGTGGAATTAACTAGACCAAATGGCATTACTGTCCATTCGAACAAGCCTTCCTCTGTGGCAAATGCAGTCAAAGGCATGGAATCCGGATGCATGCCTATTTGCCAGAATCCTCTGTTTAAATCTAAGTGGGTGAATAATGTGGAGGAGCCTATTTCTTCCAGTAGTTCTCTGGTGTCCCTCATGGGTTCTGCATCTAATTGTGTGATTTTATTTAACTCCCTATAGTCACAACATATACGGCACTGGCCATTTTTCTTTTTTACTACTACCATGGGTGATGCTATTGGTGAATCTGATCTTTTAATCTTGTTAGTCTGTATTAAATGATTTAGTTCTTTCTTTACTTCTTCCCTAAATGCATATGGAATTGGATAGATTTTGTGTTTGAATGTGGGTTCCTGTGTTAATATTATCTTGTGTTCTAAACTGCTAGTGTGTCCTATGTTCTCTGTGATGACATCTTTGTATTCTTTTAGAATTGTTGTTAAGTGTCTGTTTGTTGTGGTGTTATTTTCATTGTCTTCTAATTGTATAACACTAGCAACGGTGGCTGTGCTACTTATTTCATTACTGATGGTTTCTAACTCTTCAGGAACAGAGTCATATTTTCTGAGCAAGTCCACATGTAGGACTTTCAATTCACCCTTCATGTGAATTACATAATCAACTAAATTTAACTTGTCATGAATTGTAAACGGACCCTGCCAAATCTTTTGTCCATTATTGTTTGGCAACCATACCAAAACTTTATCATGTACTTTAAGATCTCTGAGGTATCTATGTGTATTCTTTATATGTCTTTGTCTTTTAGACTCCCTATCAGTGTTTTCTTTAGCATTTTCTATGCCATATGTAATCCTCTCTCTAATTTTTGTAATTATGTCAAATGTGTCTTGTTGTGTGCCTTTCTGGCCTAAAATATTTTCTTTAAAAAGAGTTAACGGTCCCTTTGGATTGGCCCCAAACATTAGCTCAAATGGAGAGTACCCAGTGGTGTCTTGTATACTCTCTCTATAGGCGAATAAAACCATGGGTATATATAGGTGCCATTCTCTAGGGTGGTCTATTGTTGTTTTATTTAACATTGTTTTTAGTGTTTTGTTCCATCGTTCTACCATACCATTAGCCTGTGGTCTATATATTGTGGAATGTACTTGTATTATACCTAGCATTTTTGTAACTGCATTGGTTAAGTTGGAAGTAAACTGTGTTCCATTATCTGACAATATTTTATCAGGGAACCCATGTCTTGTAAATACATCTAATAATGCCATGCAAATTGTTTCTGAATTAATGTTTTTGAGGGGAATTGCCTCTGGCCATCTAGATGCCATATCAATCATGGTTAAAATAAATTTGTGTCCCTTATTTGATGGTGGATTAAGAGGACCAATGATATCTATAGCTACCTTCTCAAAGTTTCTACCTATTTTGTCTGTGGGTTGTATGGGTGCTCTGTGTTTACTGTGTATTGGGTTTTTTGTCAGACATGGTATGCATTTGTTTATGTGTTTCTTTATGTCCTTGTGTATGCCTGGCCAATAAAAATTCTGTGTGACCCTCTCTAATGTTTTTTTTATACCCATGTGTCCAGCCAAAGGACTGTCATGTGCATGGTTGAGTATTTTGTTTCTGAGTATTAATGGTACTATTATTTGAGATTTTTTGATTTCACCTTTCTCAAAATTTCTGATTAGAATATTATGTTTTATTGTGTAATTATGTCCTCTATAAATTGTGTTATTGTCCTTAATTTTGTTTCTAATGTCCTGAATTTGCCTATCTTCTGTCTGCATTCTAATTATGTCCTCTCTAGATATTTGTTTTGGAATGTCTAATTTTTCTTCTATTTCAGGCTGTGTCTGACTAGTTTTATGTTGTTGTCTTGTTATTGCACTTATATACTCTTTGGTTAAATTTTTTGATTCAATCCAATTTAAGAATAGTTCTTGGGAATTATCTGGAATTTCTTTAATATTTCCAATTATTAACTGACATACTGGGTTGTCCATAAGTACTGCCGTTACCTTTCCTGTCAACCATGGACAGTCTATGTCCACTACTGCTTTATAACATTCAACTTTTGTGTTATTTGCTAACATGACTGTGGTTTTTTCAGATATATGGTCTTTAGGATCAATCAATTTTTTGTCAACTACTATTGTTGTACAACCTGTGTCTCTTAGACACTGAACAAGCTGGTTGTTTACATAAGAAGGAAAAAATTGTAAACTTCCTTCACTGTGACATGCGCTAGCTAAAGTTTCATGTGGTTTGGTGTTTTGTCTACTGTTAGTCTGATTGGAATTATATCTTTGATTTTTATATGGTTGTCTACTCCTATTTGCACTGTTGTATCTAATTGGACTACTGTTGGGTGATGTTCTCTGATAGTATTGTTGTGAATGTCCTAAATCTCTATGTAATTTCCTACACTCATATTTTTTGTGACCTGGAATGCCACAGTAGAAACATTTGTTGTTGTTTGAATAATTAGTATATGGTGTCTGGTAATTGTTTTGATGACTTTTCTGAAATTTATTGTTTTGCCATCTGGCAGGTAGGCTGTGGTATCTTCTGTTTTGATATGTGTTTTGTTTTTGACTGTCCCTATCACTGGGTGTGTTTCTAATAGAGGCTAGTGTGCTGTTTCTATTGTCTAGCTCTTCATTGGGGTGAGCATCTTTAAATGTTGTGATTGAGTCAACTAACTCACGCTCATTTTTAATCTTTCTCTCTTTAAGGAATGAAAATAAAGAGACTGATGCATTTCTTAATATTTTGTCTATGATAAACATATCCAGTAATGCTTTTGGATCATTTAGGTCAATTTCAGTTAATTCAAGCCATTTGACAAGATTGTCTCTAATATTGAATAT